CCTGCATGCAACAAGCCCATTACGGGCTATATAGACATACCGTCCGTTCCGGGCTCAAAGGCCGAAAATTCTGACTGCTGGAGCCGTGGCTTCGTTCTCTGAACCCGGGCTCCGGCTCCGGGTTCAGAGACCGAAACTACGGCTCCAGCAGCCGGGAATTTCGGCCTTTGAGCACTGAACGGACGGTATGTCTATATAGCCCGTAATTGCGGCTCCCCAGGCCGGAGTTTTTTTTCAGGGTACCAGAGGTCTATTTGAAAAAAAAAATTGGGAGTAATCAGTTACAAGCAAATATGACCGTTTGTGAGAAAAAGGATCGCTGTCCACAAGGACACATGAACGCTAGGACCCATCCAATGGCGCAGTTACGCCCCCGTATCAAAGGAGTAACGTAAGAGTATAACGTAGCGTTCTAATGAGTTGCGAGCAGTTCAGTTCAAGTTTTGTGCTAATGAAGGCCGTAAAGTCGTATCAAAATGAGATAATTTTGTACATTGAAGATGGGATATTATAATTTTAATTAACTTGTTCTTCAAGACTACGTTTCAGCACTGTGATTTAGATAGACATTTTTGAGCCTTTATTGGCACAAAATGTTCATAAAATACTTCAGTATTCTCTCTCATCAAGAACTGACTTTAAGGTCCTGCATACCAAGCTAGGTCCCTCGACGGTCCCAAACCACACGTCTTGTCATGTTATTTTGAATGATCTTCACGCAATTTTCATAACTTTTTGAACAGGCACTCTGGTGAATGTGGGCACTGCAGTGACCATTTCTGATTAACTTAGTCATTCAAGGCTACAGGGACTGTTGAGCCCCTTAAAATGGAAGACCTTTTAAACAAATGTGGATTAAGATGACTGAAAATTTGGTTATATACCATGAAGTACCATGAACCATTACCGATACCATGAATTATACTTGATGAAAACACGTTATGTAACGTGCTTCGTTCATTTCAAAGTCATTTGTAAGCTTACGTACATAAAAGCCGCTTTCACAGCACTATCTCTGATTCTTTGCGACACATAGCTGCCAAAGTCCCCTATGATCATGCCAAAGCCCTCCAGGGTGACGGCACTCCTCATCCCTCATTTCCTCTAAAACCCACTGTCGCAACCCTTTCACTGGGCGTCCTCTTCGTCTCCTTAGGAGGAACCCAATCAAGCATCTTCTACGGCAGCCTTCCTATAACCGTCATCTTGTTAACATGACTATACCAGATCAGCTATTTGGATTGTATTTTGCAAAAAGGAACCACTAGCATTGCAATGATGCTAAGATTGTGCAACTTCATCTTTTGCAATAAAATTGCGGAAATCGTGAAAAACTATGAAATTTAGATGGTAATTTTTGTCTTAAATTTACAGTTTTTAGCGAGTAAAATAGAAACTATTAATGGATAATCGGGGTTTTCCTCCAAGACAAAAGAAGTTGCACAATCTCAGCAACATTGCAATGCTAGTGGTTCCTTTTTGCAAAATGCAATCCATTTGGTCATGACGTCGATTACGATGTCATTTTCAAATCCCATGATCTGACGTTGCTTTGAGAGTTTTTTCAAAAAAGCATTCTTCCCGCTTCGATTTTTGCAGGGCAAGGTAGGCAACGAATGCAACTAGTTATAATCTGTTAAAAGTTAGTAAAACCCCTCTCTCACGCTCACCCAAAATCGCCGTCCATTTGGGCCTCATGTAACCTCTATACAACCCACAGCGCTCTTCCAGATGACTCTGGGGCCTAAATAAATCTTAAAAATGGTCATTAATCATTCCAATCTCAACGAGTATTACAACGAAGCTTGTATTCTCGTCAACGGGCCCGATTATGAATCTGGCAACGACAATCGAGTCGAACGCGGCGCGGTAGTTCACCGCTCCCGAAGCCGCACCGCGACGCGACGCACAGTGGACCGAGTCGATAGGAGAGGTCGGACAAAATTTGGAAACTTTAAACGCTTATAACTCCGTTCATACAACATTTTGAGGTTCTAAAATGGGGTCCACCGGTTTCCTCGTGAAATTTTCTCGTTGAAGCACCCCTTAAAATTTAAAATGTGACGAAAAAAAAATCAAATTTTGCAATTTTACACTGAAAAAAAATTCTCGGCGTTTTTACCAAGGTTCGTTGGTACCTTTACCATCTCACTTTTTTTTTACCAACTATTGGTAATTTTACCAAGATAGACTGGTAAGCTTACCTAAAAACCGGTATTTTTACTGGTTTTTTTTTTCAGGTAAGAATACCACATTTATTGGTAATCAATTCCCGGTAACTTTCCCATTTTACCTCGGTAATTCTACCACAGTCGATAAAAAATATTGGCGTCTTTACTGGGGATCAGTAAAATTACCGAGAAAGTCAATGATTTTACCGAGATTTCTCGGTAAAATTGCCAATTCCATAAATGGTAATTTTACCAAGAAAAAACTGGGATCAACTAGAACCCTGAATTCTTGGTAATTTTACCCTTTTCTTAGTAAATACACCGAGATTTTTTTTTCAGTGAGTCAAAGATTTTATGTCCGACCTCTCTAATTGACTCGTTCCACTGTGCGACGCACCGATCAGGCCCCGAAACCGATATTCGACACCTCGGGCCGCGCCGTTACGCAATTGTCTAACTTTCATACACCAGCTGTGATGTCACTGATTTATCGTCGATTTTCGTCATGGCGTGGCGACGCGGCGCGCCCTGGCGGTCACTCAGTCGGACGCACCGGCCCCTAAATCGCGACCCTAGGGTGGATGTTGCGTCACGCTTTCGGGGACGGGGGACAGGGAACATGTTGGTAAACATCTTTGGAACGGAGGCGTCCCACTAACATTGACAGCCGGAGCAGGTCTGCTCTCGTGAGTTCTTGGGGTTACCTGGTCAAGTCACCTCTTCCCAGTTGGCCTGGCCTACTGTTGATGAGGAATACGTCGCAGTAAGCATATTTTATAGAGAGCAAAATATGACGTATTATTACACGGAGAAAAAAACCTCGTGCGTGGGACCCGAAGTTTAGGTCATATGGATCTCTGAAGTTTTCAGATTGAGCGTCTGAACACTTAAGGTCTAGCTGTCGAGGTTCGGATCATACATCTGAAACTTCAGTTCTTACATCTGAAGTACTTCGGTTTTCACATCCGAAAAACTTCGGTTCTCACATCTGAAGTACTTCAGATGTAAGAACTGAAGTAATTCAGATGTAAGAACTGAAGTTGCAGATGTAAGAACTGAAATTTCAGATGTCTGACCTGAACTTCGGAAGCTAGACCTTAAGTGTTCAGCTGCTCAATCCGAAAACTTCAGAGATCCATATGACCTAAACTTCGGGTCCAAAGCACGAAGTTTTTTTCTCCGTGTAGGGCCGGATTTTCATTTTTAGCGCCCTAGGGTGAACCATGATTACACTGAAATCAAAGTTACGGGCTTTATAGACATATCGTCCGTTCCGGGCTCAGAGACCGAGCTCAGTCGTCAAAAATTCCGGGTGTAGCACCCGCAACTTTCGGTCTCTGAGCCCGGAACGAGGACGGTATTCCTATATAGCCCGTAAGGACGGCCTGCACGGCCGGAGTTTTTTTCCAGTGTGGCGCCCTGAAAGTGGGCACTCTCGAGGGGAAGGGTTTTCCCAAACCTCCCCTTCCCCTCTCCCTGGAAAAGGAGAGTAGGTGGGTGAAATGCCAAGGAATATTATTGAAATTCGCCTTTAAAAAGACATGAGTCCATACTTTTAAGAGATACCATTTGCGAAAATATTGACGCCAGAATTAAACTGAATTTGGACAATGAAAAGTGACAAAAGGCAAGAAGACAAAAGAGCACATTTTTAATACACAGTTATTGAAGTTTTGGAATCAAGTCCCAACAACTATGCGCCTCACAGAGTATTGTCCTCCTGGGCTATAGAACTTCATCCATCAAAAATTACGTTGCTTCTGTCGGTCTCTCATGTGTATAGAGCAATTGCGGCTCATTCTGTCCAATTTTAACTTAAATCAACCAAATAGATGACGTCAGATTGACTTAATCCAACACAGAATTTGATTTAATTATGATTTTTTACGGTCATTCTCCAGGTCAAATTGATGTCCGTGACAAATTTTACAATTCGTCGCTTGGCTGGCATAAACGCGTAACTACACGTTGATATATGAGCCCGGTAAACATTTAATTGTATGAAGGACAAGGTTCACTGTGGAGTAAAGTCACGCCTTTGTCCGGCGAGAAAAAGGTATATTTGTTACGCGAAAAGCCCAGCGGAGTCGGGCCGCGTGGAGACCAAAAGAGGCATATTTTCTCACATTCTAATCCCGGCAAAGAATTTAAGTGTTTTGGACATAAACTTCAACTACTGAGGCAGCCAATCAACGGGCAGACCCATTGTTTCCTGAAACTCCAGGTGTCCTCATAAACATCTCCCAAATATATGATACTCAAATAGTCTTATCAAATGTACGGAGGCGGATCTAGCAATTTGGCAACACTGGACTCTCTCCATTTAAACCTATGATACGATTCTTGACGGGGCACCTGGCCTCTCCGAGAATCTATACATTTTCAAAGGTTAAATGGAGTAAAACAATGTTACCAATTTGCTGAATCCACCAATGCAAATGTAATATCCTGCAGAAACAAAAAGAGAACTTATTTGTAATCGATGGGTGTTCTCCTAATCCTCTATTTTCACCGCCACACAATGAAAAGATGCAAACATACGAAGGAGTATAATACGGCTCGCAAGTAACAGCGCAACAGCTTAGCGCGCCGCGTTGTCATGTATGCAAGGCTGAAACGCCTTCATTTTTTCGCATGCAACACGCACATCCACGAAGCGCGAATAGTTGTATCCAATCGTTATGACATTAATCTGGCACGTAATTGCGTTGCGCGCAACTTTTGTCGGCTGATTTCCCTACATATGTGTCAAGTAAACTTAACTTTAATGGTATCATCATGCTTTAACGTATGTTTAAATTTATAAATGTGCTTTTGCTTTTGTTGCAGCTGAGTGGCTGAAACCATGCAAACGGAAAGATCCAAAGCTGAGCGAATGTTTGCGAGATACCTTCCAGAACATGTTTCCTTGGTTGGCTAAGGGTAATACAACTTTCCGATTATTGTATAGCATACTTATTTTGTTTATAGAATGTATGAAAAACCTATTTAAGTTATTAAATGATCGGAATCTCATAATCGCATCTTCCGAGAATCGAAGAGAATTTAAATAAACACTAGTATGGCTTGTATCGGAAGGATAGTATCTCGATTTGCAGACTTTTATATATATAGGCGTGTAGACAGAAGTAAAATTTATTCTGGACAAGAATTCGACATAATTTCTTGGAAATTTTCGTGATTTATGGAAAATATATCCCTTCCGATCAATTAGTTTCTCCATAACTTGGACATTTATCTTAGATATTTCAAACTTGTTTCCTCGCTCAGCAGTCAAGTTGAAACAATGAGCCTCCAAAGAAAAATGTGTTATACTTTGTTTAATAATTCAAGAGAGAATGGCAGAATTAAATTCATACTGATGAACAGTTTTTTTTTCGTCCTATAGTTTTAACGCATGAGGTTATAAATTTGGCCTTTCATTCGTTGTAGGTATCCCGGAAATTGGGATCAGACCTTTCGAACCTTTATACATAGACCGGGTTGGAATCAAAAAGGGCCAAGGAGCAGTAACTTTAACTGGCGCTTTCACAGACCTCATTGTGCACGGACCAAGTAATACAACGGCAGTTTACACCAGGTAATTTGATAAATTAAATCAATTAGACCAGTCCTTGTAAAATTTCCGTTATGCACCGTTGAATCCAAAATATTATGAGAATATCTGGAAAAAAATTCCATGAGAGGGTTTCGTCTTCTCTTTGAATCGCGTGGCCCCAAAAATGTTGTAAAACCCTGCCGTACGAAGTTTCGGCTAGTTTCTGGCGGTCAGTGTTTTAACAGAAAAATGGAAAGTTACTCAGTGCATTAATATTACGTGCTTTGTTTTATTTGCCCAGAAAAATAAACAATATTGTTTGGTAGGATCTAGATAGCATTGAAAACGTACTGTCTGGTATAGTTAAGGTGCAAAGTAAATTTGAATAATGGATCGCATTTAGCAAAGAGGAACCAGCGTGATTACAGTGTTTTCAAAATCGTGCAAATTCTTTTTTTTTTCTTTTAAAAAATACGGAATACATGTACAGTATTAAAATTCACACAATTATTTCCCTTTAAAATTACTAATTTCTTGATGGGATGCAAAACCTATTTGCTATTTTGGTAGTTTTTTTTAGATAATTATGAAGAAGCAACATTTTAACAACACTGTAACTGCGCTGGTTCCTTTTTGCTAAATGCGATCCAAATGTGGAACCGAGTTATTTATAACAGGGTCTATGACAATCCCAACATCAAATGCCATTGAATTAGTTCTGTTATGATAGTGGTAATTAGAATCGAAAACTGTATAAAAAATCATTTTAAAGTAACCCCTTCATTGCAAAATAATGCAGTATAATGATTTACTTCAGTTGAGAAGGACAGGGTTATTTTTTTCTTTCATAAACCAGGCTGCTGCCTCCAAAAATTGTGAAGGATTCACATTAAGTAATGTTTTAAAACAAATATTACACCATGTTTTTTGATTTGCGACAGCTAGATTATTATTTAGCAAAGACTTGTCCAACTCTTCCCACAAATTTAATTATTTCAACCTTTTATGGGGGTAATTTTCAATTGTGCATTAAAATGAACAAAAAAAATCGTATCCTATAATATGTAATTTATTCTTAAAATCTTTACAGGATGGATTTCAAGAAAAACAGATTCGATATTGGTTTGATTATCCCTGTGATAAAACTTGATGCAAAATACGACTTGAAAGGAAACATCTTGCTGTTACCATTGGTCGGTGTGGGTGACGCCAAACTTCACTTACGTAAGTAATGCACAAAAGCTCATTCATCGACTATTTTTCCTAAAAGCTCTAATTTATAATCTGTTCTCAACTTTGCGGGCTGTGCATTTTTTGATCCGATGAGGTGTAATTACTTTACCGCGCATTTAATTTCGAGAAACTATTCAAATGTCTAAGGGGAAACAAATCATGTTCCATCTTTGAACGGAGTTAAACAGAAAGGAACCAAGCCACATCGGGATCAAACCGAGAAAAAGAGGCTTAAAGTTTAGCTCCTGCATAAAACTCAATGTAAAAATTAAACTTAAAGTTCAATTTCTGCAAAATTTGCTCCGACAAAAACTTTGAATTTTTGGCGATAGATAGTAGAGCAGTGGTCGAGTTCAAAACCACTCATAACTCAATTTTTTCTAAAATGTGGGTTGGTTCCTTTCTGCTTAACTCAGTCCATTTCGTGGTCGCTCTACAAAATTCTGATGGATAATTTAATGGGTCACTAAATCTCGTTTTTTTATTTGATATTCTGAAAGTTCAAGGTGTGTAGATGACGCAGCGATTTACTGCATATCATTTAAGCCCTACTGCCTACTCCTCATAGAAATCCGCTTTAGAAAAGTCCAAAAACTACGAGGGATTTCAAATGCGCCCGAATAGAGGGAAAATGATGGCAATAAAGTACTTGAATAAAATAGCTATTAACTATTGTATCATTCCCTAGTGAAGCTCGCCAAAATTAAATGCATTTATAATATAGAAGTGTGGGTTGTTTATTACTGATAACATGAGCAAGATTTACTTCAATTTGATTATGAACATGTAATCATATTTCAAATTTACCCAAAAAATTACCCACTGCCATGATGGCAATCCTGCTAATGTTTTTGGCACTATCCGTCCATGGGTGTCGATTGGACAAAGATGTGAACTCTTTTACGGGTGAAAGTTATCTACTGAGATAGGTAAAGTCTCAATTTCCAGGGTTTTTTTTCCCCTTTTTTTTCCACCGTCGCGGAGTGTTCCTTGCAAATTATCAAAGAGACATATTGATAAATCGAATATTCTTGCCACAACAAGTCTACTCATTCAGTGGGAATAATACAATGTATTTCAATTGAAAATTACCTGAAATACTTCACGGAAAAATGGTTTAGAGGTCACGCAATGGATGCTGGAAAAATTCAAAAAATGAAATAACGTTACTTGGATTTTGCGTTAGCACTAACCCTGCTCGTGTTGCTGTCTAATTCTTCGATGACAGAGCTGTTACCTTCCCAAAACACGGGTAAAGCCATTCGACCTCCTTTTGAGCAATACATTGCTCTTTTTACTACCGTGTGGCAGCATAAAAATGGTAGAAACAGGCAATTTCAGCCACCCAGTCGGTACAGTGATTAAACATATTTTTCTCCGCATTATTTCGAGAAATATGGTTTTGAGGACATGCATCCACTTGAATAATTTCACAGATATGAAAAGTTTTATCCTGATAAAGTCATAATTATCAGTTTTCTTTCTCCCTGAAAAAATAAACAAAGAAAAGTGCCCACAGCGCAAAGTATACATAGCACAAGCACACTAATTAAATAGCGCACAGACTTCGATTAGTGTGTAAATTGACTATTGGCTACTTTGGTGTTATTTTAACCAAAAATGAGCAGTGTTCATCATGCATCTAAGTGCGAGGGTTTTCATCTTACTTTACTGTATGAAATCATAAGAATAATGCATTACACCTGAGGCGCGAAGCGCTTTGGGGGGGAGGGTGTTTGGACCGCCGAGCGGTCCGCGGGCGTACCCTCAAGTTTCATTAAAAAAGGGTAACAGAACACCAGCATAAAGTAGTATTGCACTATACTCTCAATTTATTGTAATCGTCGTTACCTTGTTTTTTATACGCATGTAATTGAAGTAATTCTTTATTTCAGGTAATGTAACAACTCATGTGCAAACAAGGATAAGTTTCCCTAAAATCAGAGGCGAGGAGATAATGTATGCAACCAGCATGAGGGTCGAATTTAGTCTATCTGCGATGCGAGTTCATCTAGATAATCTCTTCAACGGAAACAAAGTGCTCGGTAAGAGAGTGTTTTTCAAACTTAGCGGGTCCAGCAGTTCGGCATCAGTGGCACTTCTCCATTGAAACATGTGCTGAATAATCGATTCTTGTCCAAGTGCCTTGTTCCTCCGAGAATCGATTAATTTCCATAGGTTTAAATTGAGGGATGGCAATTTCTCCAACATCCTGAATCGGATTGTTCTTTAAATTCAAGATTTTTGTGTCACTTCCTGTGTGAAAGAAAAATCATTATGGAGTACCAAATTCACTCGGGCTAGTTTTGGGTAAAGCCTTGTAAATTCCTTTGAAAAGAGCTGAAATTATCTGAAGAACCCCACAACAGAATTCAAAGTTAACAGAGTTTTTTTTTACCTACATAATCAAAACATGATTTTCTTAAAATCGGCAAAATATTTATTTTAAACTGAAAAAGATTAGTCAATATTAATGACTAATCATCATAAATATGCCTGGTTTCATTGTTGATCTTTAGTAGAAACACTATCAAATGTTTTTAGAGCGAAAGAGGGAATTCCAGCACAAATTTTCCCCTCATTCTACGCTGTAAACATGTAAAATGAGATATTTTGTTTCGATCGATTTTAGCACAATGGAACCAAATCACAAAAAATCGAACAGAGAAAAGAGATTTGAAGTTTGATTCCTCCACAGACCTCCATGTTAGAGATAAGTTCAACCCCTAATTTCACATTAAAATATTTTGTTTCAAGCTGAAAATTTTTGTCTGTAACCAATTAAGCTCAAAACTAGTCCTAACTCATTTTTTCCAAAAAGTGACTCGGTTCCTTACTGTTTGTACAGTCAGTTTCGTAGGAGAGGAGATACTGCGCGAAATCAACATTACGGCTTTGAGAGAAAAAAGTGCCTCCACGTGCAGTTTTTAGCTCTTACTTGGAGTACGCGAGTGCACGTGAACCTGATAACGCTTTTTTCATGAACGAGAACTTGAAATGTTGAGCGTTCCCGTAATTTAAAATTGTGAGATAGGCCTGGATGCTATTTTCGGCTTTCACAAATTCAGAGCAAAGCGTAATAATTCACATTAAGCATTCGGACACTGATAGAGGAAAACTTTACTTGAAGGTGAAATGAGCTATCTTCCAGTTCTGCACGCATTTGCGTACTAAAACTCGTTCTTGTAGCAGTAAATTGGATCTATCTACGTATAGTTTTCATTCGAGTGGCATCGAGTTTTGGCGAGGGAGGTTTACATTAGCGAGATGAGTGAAGAAGAGAGACATTTTTTTTCTTTATTTATCAGTCTATGGTTGGATTTGCCTAGTGACGGAGCCATAAATATTGCCTAGTCATTGAGAGTCTCTCTGTTGAATCAAGAATAATTTCAACTGAAACGTGTTCTCTTCCCACTTAATTTCCCTCCGAATCAGTTTGCGTACACTTATAATCTAGCATAACTTTTCATTGAGAAATTTTCTAGTGTCGAATTATCAGGTCAAACAAGCTTATTATAATGTCACACTTTTTAGAGTTTGTCAAAACTCAGTGCTTAAAAATTACTCAAATATTCATCAAATTTGGCCCACACTTTTACCCATGTTTAATCAAATTATGAAGAAATCTCTCCTTAAAAATTATTCAAACTTCAATTAAAAACCCACATTTATGTCTCATGCAATAATGAAAGACTCGGTTAGTAATTCGTCAAAATATGATCGGATACTCTCAAAATAGTACTTCCTTTAAAAATTCGCTGATCTCATCAGATTCAACAATTAGATTACATGGTCGCCAAGCCATCATTTCTGTAGCTTTTCTGACTAAAGAGGAAAGCAACATCGTAATGAACATAAATTGACGAACAATTTTCAGTTTTTCCAGTCTTACGCGAATATACATAATTTTCAATCTTTTTATGTCAACAGTTCATTTATATGACTAATTTAAGTCGTGGCTCATTTTTTCAGGTCGAACGGTGAACCAGTTTCTGAACCAAAACTCAGTGGAAGTTGTTGAAGAATTGAAAGAAAATATTGGAGAGAGTCTTTCCAATGTTTTCCGAAAGATAATGAACGATGCTTTCAGTCACATTCCTACTAAAATGTGGCTACTGACTGATTGATGAACTCAACCGAGTGTTTTTATTGTTACTTTTTTTAAAAATTATGTGTAGAGACAATGGTAAAGTCTCATCCCGTGATCGCACTGCAAATTAGTCCTACTTTTTTTTCGATACTTAAGACAGTTACCCAGAGATTACTGTTTTTGTTCGATTTTTAATCTCGTTGTGCCCAAAAGATTCTTCGGAAACATATCTCAGGAGTCCTCATTATTTCAGTCGGGAAATATTTTTATTTTCTCGCTCTCTATTCCTTCCCCTTTTGACCCAATTCCATTAATTCGAACGTTTAATTTGAAGGGAAAACAAACCCAAAAAATCATGAAAAATTAATTGAGCTTGTGTTTGCTAAATCTCTGAGAAGAAATCGCAACATCTGGGTCCGCACTAAGCGTGCATGATGCAGTTTTAAGTTAAGAAACCCATACACCAAGATGCAACGCTATGTAGTGGCATTTTCGGGTACGGATAGCAGATATGGACCTGACCGTATTCTTTTGACGTCATAATTGGTATCCTAAAAAAATTTTCGGATCTTACTTTTTGTAAATATATCTGACTGTAAAGGATCGTGTGATATTTTCCGTTTACGTTCCGGTGACACGTTTTTATTCCTTGGTATTTACTGTTGTTGTTGAGTTTTCACCACTAATTTTTTCCTCCTCTCTGTTTTGTATCCTTTCTAATAACATTGAAAAGAGATTCGCGTGATCAAAAACCTTGAAGACGTTGCATCTCAAACTCGAGTTGACAAATTTACTGCCACCAAAAATTTCATGAACAGAGTTTTTGCCTGTGTCCTCAATTTTAAATTTCACGTGATCGACAATCAATATTCCTCTGCCGTTTTTGTTTCCTTCTCTTATACAAATATTCACAATTTTATAGAACTATATAGTACATGAGAATAGTTAGTTTTAGTTTCGTTGTATTTATGTATATGTATATATAGTCGCATTTTACCTCCGTCTACGGTCTTGAATGATAAAAGCAAGTATCGTACTTTAACGAAAAAGTTACCAAAAATCGAATTTGATTTTGATTTTTCAATTCGTTGCTCTTAGATTTTCTTTTCCCACTGTAATTCATAAAAATAATTTAAATTACAAAGTATTCTCAATTGTGAAGTCACTCAGTTACCAATTTTAGTGTCGTTTTCAGTTGTCTCAGTGAAAACAGAGTTTATTCGCGCGCAAATATTTTTTATGGATGAAATTGTTTTTCTAGAATCAACGTAAATTTCTCTTACGTTTAAGTTATTTTAGAGCGGTTAAGTTATTTTGTAACCATACATAATTTATGACTAGATAAATTCATGTTAATTTGATGTTAGCCTACCTCAGCTGATGGAACAAATTGACGTTTACAATAAAGGTGCTTTTTGAAACCTGCAACTACAGTTTATTTTATGCGTTTTTAAGAAAATGATCAGAGCGATTTAGAATAACTAGGCGAGAAAAAGTCAAATATTTATCACTCACAGTTTTGAATATTTATTTGAGCGAGTAATCCACCGACCGAAAAATACATTCATCATAACCTACTTGTAATATTGACATCAGACTGGCACAATTATTGTTAAGAGAATGTTCTTTATTTGTGCAGTAAAACAAGGCAATCAAAAGTTTTCCTTTCAGTTTTTAAATGTTCTTAAATATTTCCAACTGTCCTCATTTACGTTATCCAAGCCCCAAGAAGTGGTGGCTACTTAATTTACACATTCTTTATCCGTCTAAGTCCCTAACTTTTCACATTTGTTCATGTCCCTCATAAACGATGGAATGTCATGCTATAAGAATAATCCCAAAAATCTACGTATGCCTCCTAACATGAATGCCACTGATATTCACGCTATCCTCTACATTCCAGGATTAATTCTACCTTTGTTCTATCAGTAATGTATTTACGCAAGTAGCACTAATGTTTTATCACGAACATCACTGAGGTGAAGGGAACCAAAGTACACATTACCGAGGCAGATGGCGGTGTGTGCCACCGAGCTTATGGATGTGCATTGGACCCGAGGAATAAGTTAACAACAGGCTGATTATTTCAATTGATATAAAAAAGTGTTATACAAAGAAAACAAAAGAAAAATGGAGCAATCCTACTGGTTTAAACGGGTGCTTATAATAGACACAGGGGACATGATAAATCTTGCAATTCTTACACCTTCCGACCATCGCAACCATTTCATTAGACATTATTTGTTATCCTCTTATTTAACAAATGCGCTATCATAACCCGCCACTCCCAAGTGTCTCTAACTCATTGTGATATTCTAATGGTATGACATAGTCAGTTATTAGTTCACCACTATTGAGTATGAATATCTCATGGTTTTCTGGCATTTGAACAATTTTTTAAAGTAAAAATTAAAAGAACTGGAATAAATCCGCATCGCTTTCTACGATTCTGTTTGTTGATATACCACCTAAAATATGAAACTTCATTTCTCATTGACATGAAGTCAATAGCTTTAAAAAAATGAATTCAAGCGACGAATAAAGTAAACAATTGTATCTATAATAATAACGTTGCAAATTTCCACTCATATTCTAATTATTTTCTTGTGTTGAAAGGAGAAAAAGAAAATTTCCTTTTGAGCTATTCCTTGAATTGAACGGATAATTTGAGGAGACACGTAACCGTCAAAAGTCAAGTTTTGGGGAAACATAAAAAAAACTTAATTTATCTGGCAATGCTTCATATTTCTGTTCTAAAAAAAGTGAACAATGCTCTACATACCATCTGTAAGAAGACAATGGTTACACGGGCAGGGTCGGAGGTTTGGGTCAGAAATGAAACAATATGAAATTTCAATTGATACGCCCATCTTTCTCAAAACCCCAAAAAGCCGCCATTTTTAGCAAAGTATTGTCAAAGTTATCACATGTGTGTTCGATGACAGCATAAACAATCATAGGTTATGCCCATCTCCTTAGTTTTATCAAGGAAAGGCTAAAAAATTACGCCCTTTTTCTACTGAAGCAGATACTCAAATGTTAAAAAAGATGTTAAAAAAAATTTTAAAGATGCTTTGACATTCAATGAGTAGTATGAAAACTGATTTCGCCCTTCTTCAAATAACCTGTCCATTTGAAACTACGATGAAATACTCAAACTGTTGCGAGCAACTATAACTGCTCCTGGGCCGCTCACATTGCAGATTAGCTTATTGAAGGCGAACCGGTGAGCATGAACGCGGAGTAGCTGAATGGACTATTGGATAAGTACGAATTTCAGCATTCTGATATGTGTTACTTGGCCAAAATTTCAAGTATAACACAATTTTCAAAACAAGATTTACCGAAATCAACTCCTAACTATGATATTAACGTTTAAATTACATTGGTTACAAGAATTATTAATTTTCCGCTCACAAGAAAAAACTATGGTCTTCTTGAATCAAAGCGCGCGATACAACAATTTTGGCAGGCCTCTTAATCGAGCAATGTTCCTTCCCCGCCTTGTGTTGCTCAAAGTGTTATAACAACGTGCAACAATATGCAACAATTAGGCAGGGCCGGATTTACCTACTTGCCGCTCATGAGCCGCCTGTATTTTGCCGCCCCCTTTTCATTCGTTTTGAAACATCGATAAAAACCATCAAGTGAAAGTGCCGGAGGGGGAGGGGTGCATAAGACGCGTTTACTCGTGTTGGACACATTTTTTGCGAAAGCCCTGTCAGCACTACTGGCTAAACACGGAACTTTGCGCGAAAGTTAAGTTCCGTAATCCTATCTCTGAGGGAACAAGGCCTTCCATTTATAAGAAACGCACTAATAAATTAAGAAAGAACAAACAAAAATGTGGTTTAATACTTTTAACATTCGCCGCCGCGCCGCGCTGACCACACTGTTTTTGGTGCAATGCGTGAAGTATTCATGTAGTCTTGCAGGCGCTATGCGTTTTGCGCTGACTGCACTGTGTTTGACGCAATGCGTGAAGTATTCATGTAGTCTTGTAGGCGCTATGCGTTTCACGTTGACCGCTGGTGACCGTACTGTGTTTGACACAATGCGTGAGGTATTCAAGCACTCTTGAAGGCGCTAAAATGTTTTACATGCCGACCGCCGCGCCGAGGGCTTCTCCTATTCATCTCAAGTCCTCGTCATCATTGCTCTCTGCGCCGCGCCGCTCTAGGCCTATTTGCATGTTAACTCTGCACGTTAACTGCTCTCTTAACTCGACTTATTGAATGTGCTATCTCTTGTATCACCGAATGACGACAAAATTATACAATACTATACTCTCAGGAAATGAGAGTTTTTGTCGCCTTCTCTCGTCTGAATTTGTTTTTTCTGAATCCGATTGTTTATACCTTAATTTAAAGAAATGACAAAATTTGCCGCCCTCTAAATTTGCCGCCATGGGCCGCGGCCCATGTGGCCACCCCCTACACCCGGCCCTGTAACTAGGCCGAAGCACCGAAATCGAGGTTACCATCTTCTCATACTGCAGGGAATGACAGTAACTTTCAGTGCGCAATTTGTGTCAAGTAAACTTTTTGTTTCGCCACGAGTGGGAGGTTTTGATGCGCGTATCAAAGAAAGTTACATCATTAGGAGTCATAGTTTCAGTATGTTCGTTTCGCAAATCGTGTTTTGCCTGAAATTTTGTTTTAGGAAAATGTATTAGAATACTTAAATTCGTATCTTGTCTATTGATTCATTAGGCTGGCGGACTGGAACGGAAATTGGACTATATTTTGCAATTAGGAACTATAATATGAACCACATTTTGCAACAGGGAACCATTATTTTTGGCTAATTCTAGAGACAACGTATACGCCATTGGATTCTCTATGCATAAAGGTGCTTAAATAGAAAAGCCAGAGATAGTGGTTCCTTATTGCAAAATGTATTCCATATCTGGTTCACTTTCGAAACGACATTTGCCATTAGCTTTCCTACGATAGGCGTTTTTATGGATGAGCCAGAAATCGTATAATTCCTTATTAAAAAATGCAGTCCGAGTGATGAATGGGCCTGTTGCAAACTTTTGCGAGAGCAAAAATAAGGGTTCTTACTCATAGAAAGTTTCTCAAAAATCGCGATGAGCGCATCGGCAAAGTCTGAAATACACTCCTTACTTCACAGTTTGCATAAGAGATTTGCGTTTTTTCGAGCTCCCCGCTTCAAAAACGATACCACAGCACAGGTAAACATTTCGTTAGAGGAGTCATTCCATCCAACCTCTGCTCACAAAGATACTCCGCAATATTCAACATAGCCGACGCCAATCCGCCAAAACACATGTGACGGGACGATGATTCTAACCACCTGATAACAATCGGCGTGTTTACATTCACATTTTTCTCGCGTTGATAAATATCCTCAACTTGCGCGCGGAAGCATCGGCCATGTTGAGCAGGGATTGAATAGAACGACTCCTCTAACGAAATGTTCATCTGTGCCGTAGTCTTATCCTTTTTGAAGCGGGGAGCTTAAAAAAACGCAAATTTCTTATGCAGATTGTGAAGTTAGGAGTGCATTTCAGAGTTTGCCGGTGCCCTCATCATGATTTTTGAAGCATTGTCTATAAGAAACAACTCTTAGTTTTGCTCTAGCAAAAGTTTGCAACAGGCCCATTGCTCCAAACTGCTGCAAGTAACTATTACTCCTCCCGAGCCGCTCACATTGCCTACCAGTTGATTGAAGGCAAACTGGCGAGCATGAGCACAAGGCTCCAAGATATGCGACTATACAGAACTGAACATACAAAAATCCTAATTATTGTTATCACTATACTGGCAGTTCCACAGCATGATATATGCAAGCTTATGGGATTTTACTTATCATTTCTCACTTCAGTGGCCTTTATTTTAACATATGCATACATGCAAAAAAATTTCCAAAGCCTACACTGTAAAATTGTTCCGGTACTTTCAGTCGGAATTATGCGACACGCACACTAATAAACGCTTATCTTACAAAAGGCTCCCAGAAAATGATGTTTTTCCCTTATTTTCATTTTGTATCGGAGACCAGATTGAGAGACACTTTTACTCAGGTTTTTCTCATTCAGGACTGATTTTTAAAATTTTACGATTTTTAGTTTATTTTTCTTATCCATAGTTAAAGTCTCTCAGTGTTGGTGATCCCATCGAAGTTGAGCTCTGGGCCTAAAGACCAGAGTTAAAACTGGAGAACTCTGGACTCATACCAAACCATCAGAAACCATATTGCTTGAAATTTATGAAGAATATTCTGCCACCAGGAAGGAAAAATTAAGAAGGTTTTCAAGTAAGTACGTCGTCTAGTTTTTCAAAGAAAAAGTAAAGTATGACAGGATTCTGCAAAGTCGCAAATAGAGCTACATGGTTTTACACTTTGATCATCTATTTGTTTTTTCTGAGTTTTAAACAGTGGTTCCCTTTTGCAAAATGTAGTCCAAGTATGGGTCAGTCGCGCTGGGTACAGAATTGTGTTTCAATGGTTTAAGTTATAGATTAAGAATAAACAATAAGATCTGTTCAAACGTCAAGTTTCTGCACCCAATTTTAATGGTGATATTCCCCTTCAAAAACACCGCGAATGACGTCATTCACTACGGCAGTGCATGGCATGATTTCTTCAACCTTGGTCTCATCCGTGTTTTACTTCGAGCAACCAATGCAAATGTGTGTCTCGCTGGTCGATGAAACCAAGGTGGAGGAAACCATCGTATGCACAATCCTAGTGGATGACATCATCCATCGCACGATAGAACGAGTCTATGGGGGCAGGTTGGTCATGATTTGGAAAATTTAAAAGCTAGTAGCTTTGTCAATACGAAACAGAGAGGTTTAAAAGAAGATTTTGTTGGTTTTTTTTTTTTTCACAAAAGTTCCCACAAGAAGCACTCGAATTAAAATGAGACGAAATAAACATAGATAATAGTCTTAGATAAAAATGTCATGTCCGACCTCACCGAAACAATCTTTCTACGTATCTCGATAATTAATACCTCCCAGTGGCGCAGCTAGGAATTATTTGAGGGGGCGGTGGGGGGAGGAGGTCCCGTGACGGTTAATTTACATTATTTTGTGTGCACCCCTGATAATATTTCGTCACCTTCCAGGCAAAGTATCACAAGCGCCATGCGACGTTTAAAAATTTCCGCCGCCATTTTATTTTTTTACAGAGAAATTGTTCAACGAAGCTGCGTCCGAAAATTTCACTGAATTTTCTTTGTGCTGCCGATAAAATTTAGTGAAATTACCAAACAGATTCAACCAACAATTTCTCAGTAAAGAAATAAAATGGCGGCGGAAATTTTTAAATGTCGCATGGCGCTTGTGATACTTTGCCTGGAAGGTGACGATTTTATGTCTGCCTTCCATAAGTAAAAAAAAGTACAATTAACGAGGCTAAAGGGGGGGGTCCATTCTCATTCAGAGGGATTCATTCCATATCCATTTCCATCCCAGGGATTGTTGAAATTGATAGGCAAAGCGATAGACAAAGAGGACATAATGAGTGTGGAGCGATCCTATTGGTGAATTTTGGTGGTTCTTATAGATAAAGGGGGTAAATGATGGACTAAGTAAAGGGTATCTCGTGAGCTGCTGTTTGTTAGTCTTTTACCTACCTCCTTTATCCATTCCAATTACCACCCGCTTCCACCAATAAGATCCCTCCATATCCTTTATGTCTTCTTTGTCTAAAGCTTTGCCTATCAATTTCAACCATCGGCCCGCAGACCCCCTGGATCGCCCCCCCCCCTTATTAGTGCCACTGAATCTCCGTTGATACTGGGTGTATTATAAACTTGGCGTTTGAACAGATCTCAATGATTTCGCTACTCTATGGGCGTAAACCACCCAAACACGATTCGGCAGACCGATTATTGAAACTGATAGACAAAGCTATAGACAAAGCTGTAGACAAAGACGACAAAAGGGATTTGGAGGAATCCTATTCGTGGAAGCGGGTGGTGGCAATGGACATAAGAGGTAGGTAATGGACTAACTAACGGCAACCAACGAGAAACCTGACAATTAGTCCATCATTTTTTTCCTCAGTCTATAAGAACCAACCATGTCAACCAATAGGATCGCTCTATACTCCCTATGTCTTCTTTATCAATCGCTTTGTCTATCAGTTTCAATTATCGGCCCGCTGTAACTGACTTGCGCATTTAACCCCTTTTTGTGTCTCCGTTTCTGTAGGAGTTGTGCGAAAATCGACGACTACCGGAGGAGCCCCATTCCGCGAAGCTGGCGAAGCGGCGAACTAGGCGCGCGCGCGGCCCCGGCCCAGCCCGGCCGTCTGCGGAGCGTCTGGGCATCTCGGCGGGGCGCAGACTCCGCGTCGGCGGCGTCAGCAGCGTCGCCGTCGTGGACGTCGCGTTGCGCGGAGCCGAGAACGGCAGCGCGGGGCGGCCGGGAGGGGGGGGCGCCGGGTGGGGGGCCGGTAAACGGCGCGGTCCCCCGTGCTCCAGCCCGGTGCCCCGAATATCCGGAGGTGCCCCCCGAGGGAATTCCGTAGATCTATAAGTCATGTCGGCATCCTTAATCGTCACTCCGCCCGGCCGCGCTGACTGTCGTCGCGTTTATGTAAGAACCAGGCTCGGGTCACCCGTAAATACTGATCACTTTCACTCGGCGGTGCCCATGTTGCCTCCGCCTCACCGTCCTGCCCGATTCCCTCTTTGATTCCACCGTACGGCGTCCTCCTCCGTCCTCCGTCCTCCGTCCTCCTGCTTGCTCATCACCTCCGACCGGCCAGTATCGGCTCCCGTCGCTCAATTACATAACTTTCCACCACGTTCGCCTCTCTTTTTTTACATGTTTTAAAAAACCCAGCTCCTCATCCCCAGGACTCTCCAGGCTCCGAGCTTTTCGGGAAAATGCTCACTTGAGCTCGATCCAGGCCAATTTTCTCTCTCTCTCGCCCTCTCTGTCTCTCTCTGGTTCTCCGCTCCACCGTGCTACTTTTTTGGTGCTACTTTGTGTCAGGGATTCCGTGCGTCCCTTGGTCCCTGTGGTGTAAGTTCCAAGTGCTTCCTCGGTTCGAACGAACAGATATCTGCCTCCGAAATTCTCAGTGCGGTTACTCTTTAACATGATTCCTATTTCACCGTCCAGATTCAGTTCTTTGAGGCATGGTCTGTTCTTGTGTGTCGGGTTAAGTTTCTGTGCTACGCTCACGTCATGCACCATCCTGTCAGTCAATTCAACACGTAAGTACTCGCACAAATAGCTTATTTTCACTTTATTCCAACTCTCTGAACCTACATCCCACAGGAATGCGGGCGGTGAACAAGTAATCTGGTTTTGTAGGAAAATGTTTTTCGATGTCTAAGATTCGATCGGTTTTATCAAATTTGATCGAGTATGAAGCCTGAAAATACCCTGGACTTTTAAATTGAAAAAAACCATCGCATGACATGAAAAAAGCTAGGCTAATATGCTGAAATACGCTCAATATAATGAAAATCACCCAGAATTACTCTCATTCTACAACCTCTTTTGCTCCATTGTTTTACCTTCAGGAAGATACGTTATTTATTTAATTTACTTTCTTTGACCCTCAGAATCTCTTGATGTATCCTTCTTTTTATATGCATTAAAAAGGACAAAATGTGTCTTTACCAGTCTAAGTTTAAAAAAATCGTTAATTAATGCATCAAGACTCGCGCGAGGTACCTGTACACTCATGTTTTTTTTTTTTGTTTTTTTTTTTTTTTTAATTCATGAAAAGTAATTTCTTCTAAAAACTATGCCTATGATTATAGGCTGAGTCGCTTAACCTGAGGCTAATCGCAAGTTTAAAAGGTTTGTAGTATTAAAGCAACAAATTTGATAATCAAATAATTAGAATTATGACGGAGAGGAAGGACTCAATGCGACTTGTCTTATAATGGTTATTTTGACTCTTTAGAGAGATCATCCGAGTCACGGATACAGATTGCAATTATTAAATCTTGTATCATGCAGGAGGTATTGACTTGATGACTTGCAGATCGCTGGGAATATGACCGTTGAATTCATAGCGAAAAGAAGGGAACGGTTTTATATTGTACACAGCTTACTCATAAGTTTAACACAATTCAAACGAACTCAGAAGTTTTGCTGCGTTGTGAAAACTCTAAGACTTATGTGTTCTCTGCCATCATCGGGTTTCGGTTTCTTTTTTACTCTCAATTTTGCGAAGAACATATTGTCTTAATCACAAAAAACAACAACAATATTAGAGGCTCGTCTTATATGTACACTAAGACGATTTTCTATCATACCCAAACGATTTAGAAGCCGAATACCACACAGCCATGCAATATTTACAAAGCTCATTTAATCTTTTTTTTTTTTTTTTTTTTTTGAAGATATCATTTAATTGATAATCCGCTAATCTGACTTTTGAACATTCAAAAATAGTCTGTTATGTCAAATCATCACGAGAACAAGTATCCAAGTTTATGGAAAGAACGGTCTCGAATTGTTCCAAATCACACATAATGAACGTATACCAATTCCATCGCACTCTCTAAATTCCAAATCGGATAATACACTCTCTGCACATTGCATCATTATTGATCTTCACGAATAAACAATTAAAATCGATGACTCGTGGTTGAAAAACGCGCCAGAAAAGCTCATTTTTCGGATAATTGGGCGGAAAGTATGAATTTAAAAGTTCGCGTTTTCGTTTGCGCATATTTAACATTCGTTGTTCGCAAGTAATAACTATGCATTTGACAACTCTGCTGAGAATCGTAACCCATTTCTCACTGTCCGCCATACGTGACATTATACGGAGACAATGACTTTTGCGTCATGAAACTGTTCATAAACCGGGTATTATCTGTAATTAAAGTTACTTTCATGCGTCGGGTGATTTCGTGGTAGGTAATTACAGAATTACATTGTATTACTTGAGTATTTGCCTGTGAAATCAATTTGGAGGCGAAGATTTGTCACTCTTAAATTTGTTTGCATCGGGAAGTGCGTCCATTCTATTGACAAAAGAAGTGGTCATCAGCAAATATAATATAATAATATAAATATAATTGCAATTCTATCCAAAAGCTTCCAGTCGAAATAAATGTCATATTTATCATACCCTATTGATGAAACGTAGAAGGAACTTTTACTACATTCATCATAGTAAATATATATGTTCATGTTTTTCCATTTCAAGGATGCCAGAAAAAATACACCAAAAATCATCCGTCTTCGTGTGACAAAGGAATAAATAAATACCTTCTTGATTTATCTCAATGAAACACGTTTTGCTTAGCGAATATACAAAATTCTTCACAATATTTCTGAATCTTACCGTCTTGTTGCATTCTTTACGTCTCTTCTTTCTTTCGTGTTTGATATTCACAAATCAGGCACCCCACTCATTTTTCCTCTCTCTTTTCTCTCTGGTTTAAAAACTTACATTCCGTTCGGGGCCCACAGCCTGCTTTAAACAATATTTATTGTCCTTGGACATCAAAAGATAAAGGTACCTCATCAATGCTCTGGAGGATTCAAATTTTCGAGTTTTACGGTTAGTCTAGTGATAAACGCGGTTGACTCTAGGTCAATTTGTCACAGATTTGAGTCCCAGCTATGACGACAAAGTTTGACAGAACTGACGAGTGAATCTGCATAGGAACAGATCCCACTATGCCTTGATCAGCAAAAATTTGAATAGCTTAATGGATGTGCTTATTCCCTAATGTTTAGGGACGACAAATAGAGTTTATTGTTGACTACAGACTCCTAACAGAATTTAAACCATCAAACCAGCCAAAAAATAGGCATTAGGAGTCTATGTAAGTCTAGAGTACCGGTATAGCGAGAGTATAGACAGGCGAGAAACTCCGAAAATCCATCAGGCCTTCACCGATGCCTCCGCGAATAAGGTGAGGGCTCAAAAAGGCAACTAACTTATGAATTCAAATTATCCAGAACGATCTATTATTACAATTGTTACGCCCCGTCGTTTGTAAAGTACGTACTTTATTTAGTTTTTGGATGAATTTACTCACTTTTGCGAAGCTCATTCATGACAATTTGTGCCCATCTTGGTTTGACGTCGGAATCTAAAGATTGGCAGTGAACTTTTGTGTGTTAAAGAGTTGGTTGTTCTTTTGGGCTCCAAGCCCTCCATGAGGCAAGCTGTCCATACTCTCGCTGTTCTAGTCGAGCCTCCCGTCAATATCGTGGAAACTCGCCGCTAGAGTCCCTTTATACTAAGAGTCAAGATAACGCCCCCTCATGGAGTCACAATAGGGGAATAAAGATTACACAAATTGAACGTTCTTCGTAATCTTTGATCGGCTCATTCTCAAATTCCTTTCTCCGTTCCTTCTCTCATTCCGTTTGTTCCTTGCCGAACCCGTTATTCCCCGGTCCATTCTACATTATAATCTTTGCAATCGGTGAAAATGTAATCTTTATTCCCGTTTGTGACACTGTGGAGGCTTAAAATGCGGGAACCAATCAGAAATGGATTCACATTGTCTTGACTCTCAGTGTAAAGGGACTCTACTCGCCGCTTTCCGCCCATCCTAAAAATGTGATTGACACCAGGAATTTGGATGCGCAGAAGTGGTTTCTAATTTTCGCGGGATTTTTGATCAAAAGCGAATTTGGACTCGACCTTTATTACATCACGACGAAATGAAACCGGTGGATCTGTGTTAATCGCCCAGAATAATTAGTCCCTCCACGTAACCGGAGCCGCTCTCAATGACTTAATACAAGTTATGATTATCGGTCAATTCAATTCGCGGCGGCTCCGATTCAAATCATTTAAAACTTGCTCTTCATTCCCGACGCACAGTAGATCGAGTCCATTGGAGAGGTCGGACATGATTTTTTTTACTAAAACTGCAATTTTTGTCACATTTTAAATGGAGATGTTGCATGTGTGAGGAATTTGCGATTTGACTGATGATTCCTATGTAAAAGTTTGCGAAAAACACGATGGTGCCACTAGTTTTCTCTGACATTATCTCCAAAGCTCAAAAAAAGCTCTCAAGTTGAGGCCAAAATGGAGGGGATATCCCACCCTACCCTGAGAGTTCACCTCTACATCAAAACAAACTCTCCATGCAAAGTTAGGGAGCAAATACATTGACAGGGCTGCCACTTTATTTGGGGACTCCAAAACTGAAAACACGGCTAATGTATGCTAATGTATTTGCTTCCCATCTTTGCATGGAGAGTTTGTTTTGATGTAGAGGTGGACGCTTAGGGTAGGGTGGGATACCCCCTCCATTTTGGCCTCAACTTGAGAGCTATTTTTGAGCTTGAAAGTTGATTTCAGAGGAAACCAGAGGCACCATCGTATTTCTCGCGAACTTTTACATAAGAATCAATAGTCAAATCGCGAATTCCTTACACATGCAACATCTCCATTTCAAGGGGTGCCTCTTATTGAATATTTTACGCGGAAACCAATGAAACCAATCCGAGAACCTCAAAGTCTTGTATAAACGGAGTTATAAGCGCTTGAAGTTTTCAAATTTTGTCCGACCTCTCCTATTGACTCGATCCACTGTGCGACGGGGAGGAATCGTCCGGTGAGAAGCTGACATTGATGAAGGAAGTGATTGCACAAGCCGGAGTCGTGACACATTTGGTAGCTCGGCTTGGGTTTTGATTTTGAACCAAGGTATTTAAGTGAGGTTTTAATATATTGAAAAGGCGGTGATTACAATGCATGCAACATTGGAAACAATAAAATTGCAGATTTAACAATTCTGTTGTTTTAAAAATCCATTCTCGTCTATCGACGCAGAGGTCGACCCAGGAATGGCGATTAGGTGTCGCAGAGCGCCCGGGAGCGCTTTAAAAGCGACTTGTGTGTATGCAGTGAAAAAAAGTGTCCGATGTGTTTCAACGTAGATTTGACAATTAAAAAATTCTAATTCAACCATCGCCATAGTTAAGTTAGCTTTCCAGTTTTGTAAAATGTACATTTGAAACAAGTCGGACATGTTTTTTAACAATTTAATTGTTGAATCAGCGATCCGGTGAAGCGCTTGTTTATGCTGTTCATTGCACTGTTTTCAGAATTGTCTACAGTGAATTTTGACGCCTGAGAAAACCCCCAATAAAGTTAGTATTAGATTCGGTCTCAGTCGATTCAAAAAATGAAGAATTCTTCACATCACAAATTGAGAATCAAGCTCCCCCCCCCCCCTTAATTTATCTATTAAACAGATGTTAGAAGAGTGCTGGG